ACTATACTGCCTGTTTTCTGTGGTTCCTTACCACTGGATTCCTATTTCTTTGGGAACTTAGAGGAATGATATCTTCAAGACAAACTAGGCTTTCCTTTCTTTTTCTCAGTTAGAGTTTGCTAATGTGCTAACACTTAAGCAGGTAGCACTATTTCTGCCAGCTCATTTGAGGTAAAATACAAGAATATTTATCTAATGTGATTAGAAAGATGGTATGTTATAATTCACAAAATATTCTGGTTCATACATATGTGCATATTTATATTCATATTATGTATAATATATGTGTGTAGTATATAGATACATTCATTTGTGTGTATGTTTATATATATTCATAAATCTAGAAATGGTTCTCCTTTGAAAAAAAATTATCAGGGTAAAAGAATAAAATTATATGATTTAAACCTCTATATCCCCATTCCATACCCCATGTGTTCCCTCTATGCCTCTTGCCCTCTGCCAGCTTCTCCTTTTCCTTCTTCCTTTTTCTTCCTCTCCATTTTCCTCTCCTCTTTGTTCTTCCAGTCTTCCTTCCTCTCCCCCTCTTTCTTCCCTACCCTCTCCTCTCCCACTCTTTTCATGCATCCCTTCCTTCCATTATTTGTGGTATTTGCATAGCTATTAGCTCTACATATTTCCTTCTTAGTTACAATGTCTTCTGCTTTTCATTATTTTTAGTTGTCAACAATGTGGAAAATACTAATATGCTGGAGAGATTTTACATATTTCTTTTTAATTAAGCAATTCCATTCTGTCAGTGAGTAGGGAGAATGATTTCTAGTATCCCTGAATATGGAATAGGGTATGGACGGTTTCTTTCTTATACTTCACATGGGCCCTTGAGATGTGGGGAATCCACTGACACTTAGGAGCTAAAGGAACTGAATAAAGTTGCTTTCCAAGTAATTGTAATGTCTTTTCTGATATTTATACTAGATTATTAATTAGGATATCTAAGGAGAAAATAGCTTACTTAGTATTTTTGTTCTATGCCAGACTTGTTATAATGCTATAGCCTCTGATTTCATTTGGATTAGTAGTGAAGCCAGCAATAATTTAAGAGAGCTCTCAGCAGTCGGGACAGAGCAGTTCTGGTGTGGCTATGTCTCCCCCTCTCCCCTACAATCAGAATCATCATGAGCATTGTTTCTATACTTGGTTCTCACCCTGGCAGGTTAGGAGTTAATTGTCCAGAAAAGCAAGTCTGTCCCAGCAGAGCAGTTGTGATAAAGCAGAGGCTGTATATCTGACAAAGTGAATTGAGTCTCCGCCCAATCCCTCTAAGGGCATGTTTGAGGCAGCCCTGGGCTTGCACAATCTCCTATGACATTTCCAGGGGTCATCTTTTTCACCAAGCTTGCTTAGAATGCTGGAATATTCTCTCATCAGGGACTCTATGAAGTAGGTAATAAAGCATACAGATTTCATGGGTCCATTGTTTTCATACAAAAGGAAAGTTGGCTCCCACAATAGCTACAAGGTTGATAAGATGCTTATTAAGACAAGATGCTTACAAGTTATAATTACTTTAGCCTTATCTAGCATTGCCTTCCTGAGAAGCTCAAAGGGTTTTATGAATGCCATCTCATTAAGCTTCTTCCCGAAACACAGAGGGAAAAGAAGTTTAAAGGTTTTTACCATGGAAGAAGACTATTTGGGCTTTTATTTTTTTTTTATTAATATTGAAATGTAATTAACAAGACTTGACATTTGAGTATAATTCATATTAACTAACTTATTGTCAGACACTACTATATTTAAGGCATTATTCTAGGGGCCATGATTTGAAGATGGCTATGGCAAAGGGCAAACTGTGAAAAAGACAAGAGAAGGGCCACTGCAGGGATAGCCAGAGAGTCTCCAAGAGCAAGTTTAAGGATCATAGATTTAGAGCCCAAAGGGACAGGAAACATCGTCTAGTGCAATTCAATTATTTTTACAGATGAGAATTCTGATAAATACAAAGGAAAGTTACAGGCAAATCCATACAAGAAGCCTAAAGAGGGATGATATTCTCATGATGAATAGATTTTATTTTAGAATTCATCTTTGCATTAATGGAAGCAGCCATTATGTGGAGACCTTACTTTAATGGTATGTGCATTTGTATATACATGTATGTATGTGTGCTTATCCTTACTAAGGGTAAAAGGGGGGAAAAAAGTAATAAATTCGGGCTACAAAAAGGAAAATATAGTTGTGACTGACCAACGAACTTTGACCTGTCCAAAACATAGGGTCCACTTTTCCTACCTGTGCAGGGGTTCAAGGAGACCATGAAGTTTGAAATTGTCATGGAAACTTTATTTTACTTATGTATGTATACAGCCTTGTCTGATATCACAAGATATGTGAAGCTCAGAACTGTTCACTTCTCTGTCTCTGGTTCTTTCACACTGTTTAATCATAGGATTTTAGAATCGAGGGACTCTTCGATGTCATCTGGCTTAACCCCATCATGCTACAGTAGGGAAATTGACCCAGAGAAATGAGTTGCTCAAGGTCAGACATTTGACTAATGGGCTCAGATTCTTGTCTTGATAGTCATTGGCAGAATGACTGGGGTGGGTGGGTGGGGCAGGAGGAGGGGAGAGCAACAAACCTAAATTTCATATCAGTGCAGAACATTATAATATCCCACATTAACTTATTTTATTATTCTAAAGAGTGCAGTAGAAGAAAAGGATGAAAAACTTTTGAATAGATCATCTAGCATGCTTTCTTTGGCTACAAATGCTTTCATTTTTATTAATAATGCTATTAACAATAACAATTTTTGTTAATAATTCATTTTAATTAAGAATTAGTTAATTAACAATTAACAGTCTTATTAACAATTAGTTAACAAAACTAATAATATTTGTTTGTTCTGATTGCCCAATGATTGTGGCTTAGTTTTCAAAGTTCTCTCTTTTGCAAAGGATAGACAAATTTAAGTAAAGCTGTTGATGACTGAAAAAAATCAATTACTAGTTTCTGGTGGATATCTAGATAGGTCATTACATTTGGCTTTCTGCTGTTATGTACACACTCACACTTCATACACACCCATATATATAACCTTAGGCAAGTCATTAGCTACAATCTAAGCACCAATTTCTTCATTACTAAAATGAGGAGGTTGGATGAAATGGTCTATAGCATTCCTTGCAAATTTTGTTCTATGATCCTATAAGCCCTAGAGATGCACCCACACAGTTTATCTCCGGGGCTCATAGGGTCAAGACCAAAATTTGCAAAGGACTCTAGAGACCATCTTATCTAACCTCCTCATTTTAGTAATGAAGAAACTGGTGCTAAGAATGGTTAAATTACTTGCCTAAAGTACCACAGGTGGTATCAGAGGTAGGATTTGAATCCATATCCTCTGATTCCAGAACCAGTTTTCTATTCCATTCTACAATCCCACATCCCTAATATTTAAGTATAGAATTATGTGTAGGTGTGGATGTATATTAGGGAGGCAACATGATATATATTTATATATACATATGTAATATCTTACTTTTTCTATGTGTATACATATATTTATTATATGTATACATATGTACATACATGTATATAATGAGAAAGAAGAAAAAAGGAGTACAGTATGTGTGGGACAGTGACCCCAACCCAAATTAAACTCAGAGACTTCTCAAGGTGGAAAGCAAAGGTTACCTTTATTATAACCTCGGGAGATGGCTGTGTGCTCCTCCCATACACGTGGAGAGAAAGAGAGACCCCCGTAACAGGGGCAGCCTTATAAAAGCAATTCTCAGCCCACCACTCAAAGTCTCCACCCACTAGGCAAACAAGTCTCTACCCACCACTATCCCTTACTGCCTTAACTGGGGGTGGGCTTACATTCTAACTGGAAGGTGGGGCTTACATTCTAAGCTCGAAAGTTTCTTCCTATCCCCTTAACTGGGAGGTGGGGCTTACATTCTAGGCACGAAATTCAAAGACAAGGAAAGAAGCAGGTTGCCAAGGGCAAACGGCTTAGGTTGGGGGTGAGGCAGAGCTTATTCTTTCTGCTAAGTGCTTAAAAACAGTCTGTAATCAAGAATTATTTGACCCTTTGAAGAGCCTTCACTTCTGAGAGCTCATTTCTCACACTACCTTCTGAACTCATTACCTTAATTACACTGAGAAGTCTTCACTGGGACATCCCATTCAAGTAGATATCTATCTAGTATATATCTGCATATATATCTACTGCATATATATATATCTACTGTACCCCTTTTTCTTCTTTTGTGTGTGTGTGTGTGTGTGTGTGTGTGTGTGTAAAATATTTAGGGAGGCAACATAGTATTTATAGAGTACATCAATTATATTTACATATATATCTTAAAGTACAGTTTATATATATGTACAGATATATATGTGTGTGTGTCTATATTTACACACACAAAGAGGGAAAAAGTGGGAGAATAGAAAATGTGAGCATATTATTTGCACAAATATATGAGAGACAGCATAGTATGTAGGGTATTATATATGTGTATGTATGTTCTATGATCTATATATAACTGCAGATCATAGAATACGTGTGTGTATGCCTATATAACATATACTATACATAAAGAAGAGGGAGAGAGGAAGGAAGAGGAAGGGAAAGAGGGGGAAGAATAGAGACATCTGATAGAGAATCCATTGAAATGTTCCGTTCTCAGGAACAATACTGGTAAACACTCCAGGGTTTCCATGCTTTTATTTGGTATTTCTTACCTAGAATTATTTTTTTTTCATTCTGAGAAGACATTTCTCCTCTACTGCCCTCTTTTGCAGCAGCTGAATACCATAATCAGTATTTAAACCCACCATTTAATCTCTTTGTCCGAGTCCATTCCCATTAGTGATGGTTGTCTCTGCTGTTTATGATTGTGGTTTGGCCTTTCCAGGAAAGGCAGGCTGACGGAACTTTCTCAGGATTTGTACAGCCTAGGGAGTTCATTCCTTCACCTTTGCTCTCTTATGATGACTCTCATGACATGTTCTCAATGGTTATTTTATAGGGTGGCAAGATCTGTGCAGTGAATAACAACTCTACCAATGTGAACAAGACGACAGAATTGGATCCTGTCTTGCAGGTATTCTTGTCCTTGAGCAGAATTGAAAACATTTCTAAAGCTCAGCTGGCTTGGTTGTGCTCTTTCCTTCTGTATGTATCCCCATACTTGAGCAATGGTATTAGATAGCTTTTCAGACTAAGTCTCAGCAAGGCAACTTTGGGGGCTGCCTCAGTGGTAATCTGTGCTGTCCAGAATAGATAGCAAATGGAATGGGATCAGTCCCTGAATTTTTTGTTTAAAAAGAAGTCACCCTTATCAACTATTTTACAAAATTGATTTCAATTAAAACACATTTAATTAACAAACATACATTAGTAACTACTTTGTGCTATGCACTAAGGATAAAAAAAGATTTCATTATCCTTTGAAATTTCAGAAGACTCATAGATATGTAAAACTTTGAGATAGTCATTGTGATTGTCACTTACCATTTTAAGGTAGATATACATACACAGTAAATCCAATTTCCACAAACATTCCTTAAGGGCCTACTGTGTTCAAGGCAGGATTCCATACACTGGGGTGAACAAGACCAAATAATTCTGTTCAAGCATTTCATATTCCAACTGGGGAAGAGGAGGAGGAAGTATTTAAAGCAGCAGTTAACTGCAAGAAGTTTGTATTAATACAATGCTGTTTATTGCCTCATTACTATTGCACATGGACCTGAGCTGTCTTGCTTGACTTTAAGTTATACTCAGAATGTGGATTGTATTACAAATTAACTGTTTTTTTAATCAAACATTGCTTTTACGTGCAATTCATATGCTGCAGAGTCCCTGGGTTGCCAGTATATTTTTTCACGCCAAGTTCTAGTCATCATCAATATGTTTACTTCTGAAATGATATTTGTCTTGACTTGACTAAATCTCCCTTCTATTTTGGTTGACAGAAGCTGTACACACCTCCTCAGACTAAGCTGGAGATCCCAAAATCAGAAGAGAAAAACCGGAAGACTTCCAAAGGCATCGCAAATACAGAAGAAAAGACACTGTAGGCTTCAGGAAGCCGTGTTGCAAATGTCCGTTTGCTAATGTCTTCACGTTATTTTTAGTCCAAAGGCATGACAAAAGTACTAAGTTTCTAGAGCATGCATCTTTTCCACTATTTTATGTATGTTTGTAAAGTAGCCGAAAGAATTTCCAAAGTCCAACACGCCATTTACTATCCTTTAGCAATAATCTATTTGAAATCGATATTCACAGAAATGCTTTTGTAATAGAGTCCAGTTTTTTAAGACATTATGCTGTCTGGATCAGTAACTTGCTTATTATAAAATAGTCGGTTTTGTACACTAATGCCATTTCAAAGTTTGTTTTATTGCCTGATTTTTTTTCCCCTATAGTTATTCTTTTCTGGGATAGGCTTTGATGGCAACATGAAAATAAAGAACACTCTTTTCATTAGTACCAGCAATAGTACTAGCCTGGCAAACAGAGTCTACATCTTGCTATTCACAGAGCAAGTCTAGGGCTTGGCTGTCTGCCATCCTGATTATGCTGTCTAATGCAATGGGGTTTTAGGTGAGCCTACTATGAGGCAGAGTGGCTTAGGGGGTAGGTACAGTGCTGGGCTTGGAGTAAGAAAGATATGTCTAAATTCCACTTCAGGCATATCCTAGCTGGGTGACCCAGGGCAAGTCACTTAACCCCTCTATGCCTCTTACACTGAGCTGTGAAGTCATGGACAGGTTGAGATCTATGGTATCAGAGAAAGTCCATATGCATTTATGGCAAAGTGCCCTTTTGGGCAACCCTAGAGCACCTGAGGCAGAGAATTTCAAGCCTTTCAAAATGAATTTTCACAGATAATTGGTTTTATGTAGCCAAAAAGAGAGAAAAAATCTGGATGACTATGCTGTTTTTGATTGAGTTGATGAGGTATTTTGGAATGTTGTAGACTTAGCCCCTGTGTGTGTGTGTGTATGTGTGTGTGTGTGTGTGTGTGTGTGTGTGTGTGTGTGTGTGTGTGTAAACTCTTTTAATTTAGGGAGTAATAAATTATAAAATAAAAAGTTGGAGGTTGCCTGACGGCATAGTATAGTATTGAGCATGGTGTTCACTTCCTGCCCAGCTGTGTCACTTTGGACAAGTCATTTGACATCTGTCTGCCTCAGTTTTTTCATCTGTAAATTAGGGAATAATTCCCAGGATGTTGTGAGGGTAAAATATAATGATACTTGTGAAATGCTTTACAAACCTTAACAGTACTATAAAATGCTTTCTAAATTATTATTCAATTACCATCAGTAATGGGGAAATCTAAGAAGCAGTGTAGTAATTACATTATAAGACTTGGAATCAGGAAGACATGGGTTCAGTTCTTGCCTCTTACATATATGACTGTGCGACCCTGAGCAAGTCACTTAATCTCATGATTTAGGCGGTTCTCTATGTGTCAATTGAAGAATATGCAGAACAGTGGGTGAACAGCTTTGGAGGAGAAGGCTTCCTCACCTGGAAGTGACTTGACCCATGAAATCATAGGTCCAAGACGAAGAAAGAGAAGAAGGAGGAGGAGGAGGAGGAGTAAAAAGACATTCATGTTGAATCATAGCACTTTAATGCTAGATAAGACACAAGAGAGATCACCTAATTCAACCCTACTATTTTAAAGATGAAGAAAATGAATCCTTAAAAGGTAAAGTGGCCAATCTGAGGTTAGAATATCTTGGTTCAGTGCTCTTTCCACTGTCTTGTTGTTGCTATGCTTTTTGCTCACATTTATGACTTCTCAAGTTGTAAGTGTTTATATTTCAATTGAAATATCAGAGCCAGATTTTAGGGCAGAATTCCAAATAATTCAAGCTAGCCCAAAGTTGAGTGGACTTTCTCAGGAGTTATTGGGTTCCCTGTTGGTTGAAACTCTTATTGGGACATCTGGATGGTCATGTTGCCAGGATGATATTGCAAGGAGAGTTCTGGTCAGGTGGGAATTGGAGTAGTTCATCCTTCAGACCATTCACAGTTTGGGATTCTTTGTAAAAATGGAGCTTTGTGAAAAGAAAAAAAAAAGAAAGGGAAGGGAGGGGAAAAGGGAAAGAAAAAGAAAAGGGGAAGAAGAGGGAAAGGAAGAGAAAAAAAGGAAGAAGGCAAAACTTATAGAATTCTTGATGTTCTGACTTAAGAGTAAAGTAGAGTAATTAATTATTTAACATGATCAGTGGGGAAGCAGCCAAAATGGACAATTTAGTTCCAAATATGACCTTTTGGGGCTTAATTAGCTCATATCATTATCTACATTGATAATGCTTTTCTTTTTCCTTTGTAATACCAATCTACTTAAGTGAAACTAAGATTTGTCTTCATCAGGAGAGGAAAGAGCTTTACATTGACCATATGCACATGACTTCCTGAAAAAACAAAGGGCTAGTTTTGAGACCTAACTAAAAGATTTATGACTAAAATAACTTAAACCTCAAACATATGATCTACCTTTACTTTTGGAATACCCTGTCAGACCATTGGTCACCATGATTCATCAGAGGTTATGTGAGCCAGAGAATGGGAATGGGGATCCATAATTATATTTTAATCTATGTAGGATTTTTTGAGAAATATTTATCAACTCACTTTAGCCATTCCAAGAAGAAAATAATTATTCTTCCCTAACAAAATATGTTAGCAAATATTTATTAAATACATACAGGAATAGGTACCATGCTTAGTGCCATCAATGGAAAAGAAACAAGAAAAGAGTCCTACCCCTTAAAGAATTTGCATTCTACTGGAAGGACAAACATAAGGAGTTACTGAATGACTTCTCCAGGATGAAATAGGAACAGAATCTCAGACCTGGAAGACACATCAGAGTCTACTGAGCTTGACCTATAGTTGAGCAATGGACAAGATATCATTTAACCCTAATTTGAGGGCCTCTTACAAGGGACAACCCATTACTCTCTGAAGCAGTCCATTACACTTTAATTTTCTCTAATGGTGAGAAATATCAAGCCCAAATCTGCTTCTTTGTAACTTTTATCAATTAATTGATTCCTGTTTTGTAGATTGTGGCTAAACAAAATAATAATGCCTCACCCACTTGATAGCCCTCTAAATACTTGAAGATGTCTCCCTGCAACTTTAATTTTCCAGAGTTTGGTGGGGGAGGAGGGGAAGAAAGAGAATGCCAATTTCCTTCAAAGATGTGAACTCATTGTCCACCACCCTGTTTGTACTCCTTTGAATGCTTATTTCTGTCTTTCTTATAGTGTGGAACCCAAAGTTGAATACAATGCTCCAGTTTAGAGGTGTCAAACACACTGCATGTAGGTTCCATTTGACTCACAACACACCCAACTGCTGTCCAAACCAGATTAAAGTGCAATTGGGAAATATTTAACAAAACAAAATACAAGATAACATTATACTTTAAAGCCGAATGAATATGCAGCCTGCAGGGATCTATTTGTGTGGAGATTAGTGGCCCCCTTTCTAATTAAGTCTGACAGCACTGTTCTAGATGTCATATGCCCAGGGTAGAGTAGAATAGGGCTAATGACTCCATGGTCCTGGACCCAATGACTCTCTTTATTCAGCTTAATATTATATCTACTTTATTACCTGCTATGTCACACAGCTGACTCACATTGAGCTTGCAGTCTGTCAAAAAAGGGATTCCTGACCCCCTGATATTTCTGAACATTTTAAAGATTAATTTGTTAACCATTTCAACCTATTTATTTTGGTAACCCACTTTATTTTACTTTAGGTATTAAGATATTATTCTGAGAAGGGATTCATAGTTATTACCAGAGTGCCAAAAAGGAGTCCATGACAAAATACAGGTGAGGAACCCTTACATTGAAACCCCCAGTAATAAGAAACCAAGTTTCCTTTTAGTTCTGAAATTATATGTTTCAATGAAAATGAATATTCTTAGCCTCCTGAGTTCTGCTCTTTGCTGTTTCCTACACACTTTGAGCCAAGGTCAAGGACCTATTGATGAAAGTTCTCTGTGGGCTTTGGGGAATGGGAAACAGCCTCTTTTCAGCAAACCTTATCCCAACAAAGGGTTTCTATTCCAGTTGCTATAAAATGTGTCCTCCTGTGACATTGAAGGGTGAAAATCAAATTGATTCTTATGTAGCATAGTGAAGATAATGAGAATTTGTTTCAGTACTGTCATCTAGAATGGTGGTATTAAACTCAGATAGAAACAGGAGTCACTAAACTATATATGAGGATCCCTGTGGGCTACATATTGACTTAGGAAACCTCATATCAACACTGTCTCTGATCAATTGTCTTTTTACTTATTTTGTTTTCAATTCCCCAATTATATTTCAATCTGGTTCATACTGCTGAGCTGCAATGCAGCCTGAGAGACACATTTGACCCCTCTGACCTAGATGGGGTCAAATTTAATCCCAGTGATTCCTCTTAGCAATTCTCTTCATCTCTGTTCTAAATATCCATTTAGGAATTTGACCAAGAAGTAGAGCCTGATTTTCACGTATTGGGGGATGTTTCAGGGTACTCCAGTGACCAATGCATCACTGTACTAGCATGACCTGAGTACCATTTTTTAAAAACAAAATTGTATGATACATGACATGTTTTAATAGACATTTTAAATAACTATTTTGGATATCACTTTTGATAGTCAAGCACTAGACACTTTCATTGTATTCTATGGCTGGGCTCTCATTGAATCAACTGATTTCTTTCTTCCCTTTCATTATTTGAAAGTAGATACAGATTAGTTAAAAATCTTAAATTATTTCCATCTATAACAGTAGAAAGCACTTTGGCTCCTTTTTGGTGAAAACAGTAGTTATTTAATTTTTTTTTTTATTTAACATCTTTAAAAATGGAAATTGGTTTCTAGAAGTTCATAGGATATCATAAAATCCACATATTGGGGAAAGCATTGTAATATCTGTCATTTTCTGCATAAAATAATCATATTGTATATCCATGGTAAATAGGGGAAATTAACCAAATTATGTTGGCTAGAAACTACTTTCTACTAAGAACAATGCAACTTTTATTGTATAAGCGTCTTCTTATCTATATGTTACCAAACTAGCTAAAATAATATGTAGTCATTTAAAAATATAATTCACTGTTACATTTTTAGATAGGTTAATTTCTATGTTAGGGCTGACTTTTAAATCCTATTTTCTTTGAAATATTCTAACTGTAAATTGAATTAGCACCTATTTTGTGATATATTTGCATAGACATACAGATGTACACATTTTCATTTGTAGATAGATAGATAGATAGATAGATAGATAGATAGATAGATAGATAGATATCATATACAAAACCCTTTGCTTGGTGCTCAAAACCCTTTATAAACTAGC